TTCAAATATAATATCACAGATTTAAACATATGTACTATAAATCTGTGATAATATGCACCTACTTATCCAGGCATATTTACATTGTAACCACACATTTATCTAATTTAGATTTGTTGTAATTAAGCATTTTATGATTGGGATAAACGAGATATCCCGCTTAGCCTCCTACATAATAAAATTGTGTCCAGCTAAAGTCGGAACTAGAAGCGTCCAAAGATCATGTATAATGATCTTTGAAGCGTCTGTGGTTAAAATTTCAAAGAAATATCTCCATAAATATGAAAGTTGGCATTGCGCAGTCTACGCAAAATATGGAAAATACGAAACTGATCGAAATGGGCAAATATAGACCATAACGGCTATCAATTAGCGAAAACCCGAAGTCTCTAGGTGGCCCAGGGGCCGAGATCTCGATGGAACGGATGGACGGACAGACGGAAACACGAGCACATAAGCTTTACCTCAACTTCGTTGTGTTACGATAAAAAATTTAATTTAAAACAAGATGTGAATATTCGGAATTTTAATTTACAGTAAGGTAACCAGATAAAAACATCTATAACACCCACACAAGGTTGCGCTTAAGGAATGACACCGATATCCCATACAATAGCCCTTTATTCTAAAAATAACTGTGCTTTGCCATTTCGCGCGTCTTCTTACCCCGCCAGGTAGTTTGTACTATTCTCATAAAAACATAGCCGCTGGAGGACGCAGTCGACTTATGTGGCGGGACGAATTATGAGAGTCTAAAATTTATACAGCGCTGTCTATCTAGTGTGATCTTTGATTACATTTAAACATTCCTACGGTCAGCAGAATTTCCCAAGCTGTTAAACAAAACGAAGCTTTGATATCGCAGATCTCGTATTTGCATCTAAAATTAGGTACTGGCGATGACCACGGAGAAATGAATCGTGAAAACTGTTTACATTGGTTTGAAAAACAATTATTAGTAAATTTAGAAGAACCAAGTGTTATTGTATTGGACAATGCTTCTTACCACAACACCTTATTGACACAAAATCCAAACAACTCGTGGAGAAAAGCAGATTTTCAAGATTGGTTACACAATAAACTTGTAGAAGGAAGCACTTGCGATTGTAACCTCAGAAATGTGGAAAAATTCAATTAATCACACCGAAAAGATAATAAAGGAATGGTATGAACGCGAAAAACAATTGGATATTGCATAGAAATGGCCCCAATCATTATAAACTGGGTGAAAATGATAGTTGAGTGATGACGATTAACCTGACAATAAATAAAACTGCAATTACCTAAGTCACGAGAACTGTGTATTAAAATTTATTTTCTTTTATGTTAACAAAATGGAATGTTACGTAGTCTGAAAAGTATCTTTTTACGATCATATCAGTTTATGTTGATTATCATTTTATGTAGTTCAATAAAATTTCTTGTGTTTTTGTCTCGGTTGAACTTAGGTACTAGTCTCAAATTCCACTACAGCAAGAGTTGGCCAAATAACGTAAAATCAGCCAAGATTTCAAACAAGCATTAACTTGATATTTATTTGCTGATGGCCTATGCAATGGTTTATAACTTCCGAAACATTTACATAATGCCGCAGTGCCCACATTCCTCATCTTTCTGCTCACAACGGCAGCAATATGTTATAAACAAAATGCGACTACAGATTTAGTAGACTGCACTTTCCTTGAAACCGTCGCAGCACAGTAGGAATGGGTTTTATTTATGCACAGTAGGTTGGTTTCACACAGAGAGCCCAAAAAATTATCTCTGAATTTTCTAGTTCATCTGGATGGAAGAAACATAACCTAAAAGTGTTTCCTAAATAAAAGATTAATATATCAGCATACCTTAGAAATATTTGGCAATGCCGTGTATTGTTGACGTCATCAAATCAATGACGTGCAACGCTTTTTATAGCGAAAACCCTATAGGTAATAGCGAGTTTGCGGATGTACATTTTACGTTACAAAACTTGTCGTTATATCTTATAACGTAAAAAAACTTAAGAATTATACCGTATAAAGACACTATTATACCTTATGTTTATAAATAACGTAAACCAATCAAATTCCAGCAACAATAAATTTATCCGCAAGCGCGTTTCACTAAATTTCCCTTACGTTATATCATAAGAAAAAATGGCCGTCTAACGTAACGGAAAATACGTGTCCGCAAACTCGCTATTAACTCGTGCTTCCCGTACAAGCGTACCAAAGTTTGTTTGTCAAAATGGTCTTCGACGAGGAACAATACTATTTTACTTTTAGCGATCATTGCTCAAAGACACCTTATACTGGTTTGAACAAAAATTTGCAGTTCGCGTCACAGCGGTTGAAGATGCAACACCCTTATATACTACTCGTAGCGTCGCGTCACTCCAATCAGTGCAGTTCCAACTAGTGTGGTTCTTACCTTTGGATTCAAAAAAAAAAAATCATTCGCATAAACAGCGCGGTGCGGCGCGACAATTCGTCCATCTGGTGAGGGAAACCAAGCAGTTCGGCTCAGTTTAGTTATTTAAAAATGGCTTCATGTGTATTTCATCTATGCATAATTGAAATGCTTTTCTTTTTGGTCATGGCAGGTTGGAAGCGGAGAGAAAATAAAAAAAGGAAGAATTGGGACTACTGGCCGCTCAAAATGTTATAAGGAGCGAATTTCATTATTGTGCGATTGTGGTGAGTCATTTGACAGACGAATCAGTTCTTCTTCCATTTTACGGCACGGCTCCCGAGCGGTTTTTCCGTCCCGAGCGCTTTTTCGTCAACAAGCATTTCCCGAGCGCGCACGGATAAACACCCGAGCACTTTTAGGAGTGCTCGGAACTCGCAAGCGATTCGCTTTGCAAAACAGCTCGATGGTCGTGAGCATTTTTCGTCGAATCCAAAGTCTATCAGTCGAATTCATTTGGTAATGTTACCCAACCCGTTTATGTTTCTTAATATGTTTTTTAGTGGCGGTAAAATCGAATTGAAGTTCTATTTTTAGATTAGGAGCTAAAATCATGAATTAGCCTTTTTGAATAAAGGAAAATCGTCGCTTGTGCTTCCATGAGCAAACAAAATAAAAAGTAATGAAATATATAGCGCTCCATTTATTTTAATGTGGGGGGCTAAATCGTGAAGTTTGCCCCCCAAATTTGGTTTTTCAAATCTTTTTTCAGAAAAAAATGTGTAAACGAAAAAATCGAAGTGTGCTAAATTGCGCAATCAATGTGCAAACGAAGGAAAGGATTGACGTTCCATTATTTTAATGTTGGGGGGGGGGGGGAGCTTAAAATCGTGAAGTTGGCCCCCCCAATTAGTTGCTTCAATACCTTTTTTTTTAGAAATGTGGAAACGAAATATCGAAGTGTGCCTAAATGTGCAATCAATGTGCAAACGAACGAAGTATTTGACGTTTCATTATTTTAATGTTGGGGGGCCAAATTCACGTGGGTACTTTAACTTAGTTGATGCTCACGAATTCAAGAAAATGCGTTTTCCCATTAACTCAATAAGTAAATAACTACAAAAACTCAGTTATTAGAATTAAACAGAACCTACTCTGTTCGAGTATAGATGAATGTCGTTGGTCGCCTCCTATCCGAAAAAGTTGGTAATTTAATAATA